GGTTACCCATTTTCGGAAGTCCCGTTTTTTTTTGTGGTAACCTGTAAAAAAAAATTTTCTAAATAGATTACGAATTGTCATTGTCTATGTATCTGTCTAGCAGAGTTGTCAGACTGTACAATACTTTGTAAAATAAGAAATGTCTTTCACGGATCTTCCCAATATCGATGAAATCATTGATATTAATTCCATTTGCCCGGTATGTACGGGAAAAAAATGTAAATGTAGAATGGCCATTTCGGTTAAAGAGAGGGCCCGGCAAGTTGAACATATGCTAGACAACAGGTTAAAGAACTGGAACGTCTGGTTGGAAAGAAGAAAAAAGATACACGAAAAGCTTTGCAAAAATTTAAATAGACAACCGGGTAAAGTTGTTTTCTTTTTTACACATCTTAATTTTTGTGTCCCATTTTGAATGAATGATCCAGGCGACCTTCTTATGAATAGTTTTGAAGAACTGCGTCAAACGAACGAAATTCGGTTAAGAGAATATTACGAAAAAAGATACACGGAACCTGATCCACAAAGGGGTTGTCCCGGATTCTGGAAAATGCCCCATTATCTAAAACCGCTTCCAGGTCAACGGGGTCCTACTCACTTTGCTGTGATGACACCGTTAGAAAAATGCGAGCTACCTTCCGTCGATTATGTCCGAATACCTACAGAAGTACAGAAAAAGAAAGATGTTTTACCTAGATCGAGGTACAATTCCGTCATTTTTCGAAAGTTCGGATTCTATTTCTAAATTTTATTCAGATTTACCATAGCAAGGGATTTGTTGGACAGACAGAGACCCGAATTAGACAATTTAATAGTTTCTTCGGTGCCCATTTGGCATGATATTTTCAAACAGGAAACAGTCAAGGAAGTAACTGTAACTGAAACAATAACGGAATCGGTACAATCTCCGGTTCAACCCGAATCTCCGGAAGTTGAACCGCAACCAACACGTGAACGATTTCATATAAAAATTAACGGTTTGGATATATCTCCCAGCTCAAACGTTATGGGTACCAGAAAGGTTTATTTATTGTTTGATTATGACCTTTCCAAGAAAGAAATGATGACTCAGTATCTTCATATGGAGAATTTGGGATGCGTAGTTGTAAGATATTATTGGATACCGAATCCTAAATATGAAATGTTTGCTGACATAGTTCCCGATAAACCTGTAAAGTCGTTGTTCTTTTTTAACAAGAACGAACAGATTTTAATGCCCGAAGCTACTTATGATTTTCCTGTGTCGTTTAAGACGCACGATGAAGGTAAAAGATGAAAATTAATTGTTTTATACGTATTTATTTGTTGGCTTAGTTACGTATTATTTTAAAATTTAGAAATGATCCTTTTGAATCTACTAGGAATATACCTCGAACAATGGCAGTTACGTTTTAAACCTGCCACCGTTTCCGATAGTTTGAAGTTGGTAATTGTGATGCACGCATCAGCGTTTCGTGGGGACGAAAAAGACAAAAAAGAAAAGATTGAAAAGCATATTGCGAACAATGTTAGAAGTCGTTTAATTGAAGAGTGTTTGGAATATGTATTTCCGAAACGTAGGAGAAAAACGAGTCGTGCTCAGGTTTACACGTACAACAAGAAGGAAATATTTGAAGCCATTAATACAGAATTTTCGCCTTGTGATAAGCGCGTAAGGTATTTATACAACAAGGAAGTTGTAGAACAGTTGGAGGACCTTTACTACATCTTGAGAAGGTATGTGTCCAAAGGCTTACCGTTTTTACTAACTTTTTTAGTTGGTATTGTGTCTGTAGATCGTCAGATCCACTGTATTGGAATTTATCGTTAACGAAATTGATGAAACTGGCAAAATATCATGATATAAAATGCGAGGCTCTCGAACGAAAGAAAATATTTACAGCCTATGACGAATATGTGGAAATGGGGATGAAAGTAGAGGAGGAAAAGGCGGGAAAGTTTCAAGATCAACTGGAAGCGAATAGGAAGAAGATTTTGCAAAAATATACGACGAGTGAAGAACTTGAAATGCTATTTCCTCCTCAGTCTGAAGAACAAATCAAAATAGCAGAAGAACATCCTCATGTTGTATTGATAGGCACTGAACCTGAAAATGACGAAGAAGAAACAGCAAAAGATATTCCGTCACTTATCAAAATACTAGAACAAAGTACCGAGATGAATAAATACACCAAGTATTTTAATTGGTTAGTGGAAAAATTAGAAAGACAAGTAACTATAACCAATGAGGATCTGGTGACATTTCGACGAGTTTATGCAATACTTTGTACATATTTCGATATAATCGAACAAAAAGTTGAACAGCTCAAATCGATAGTTCACGTAGATCCTAAAAGACATTTCGTCACGCATTCGTCTAGAGAAGAGAATAATCTTCAACGAGCAGCCGGATTATCCTTGGTCCAATCGTTTTTTAAAATGCCAGAATGGCATGTGGAAAATACGATCCATGTACCTAGAGAACCACCTCCGCCTTCGTACAAAACTGACAAACCTCCACCTGAAAACCTAAAAGACATCCCTTTAGAGGAGTGCAAAAAGCGGTACAAAACTTATTACAATCTTCCCATGACTCCACCTCCAGGTGGCAAAGGAAAAGGAGGAAAGGGCGATAAGAAGAAAGGAAAGGATAAAAGCGATAAAGGGAGTGCCAAGACTGACAAGGGGTCCAAAAAGGGAGGCGCTGCCAAAGAACCAAAAGAAGTCGATGATGGTTATAAGGTGAATGAAAATTTTGATCCCTTCGCGGAAGAATTACCAACGGAAATTCCTTTAGAGAAAAATGTTCAATCGACTGAATCGACGGATAACAGCAGCACGGGGAAGGCATTGTCGAGTAGGTCTTCAATTTTACGTAAAAACATCATCACAGCTTATGACCATAATGTATACGTGATTTTTTACGTTTATATTTGTCGAGCAATTGATGAGATCGTCGATGTGCTTTCAATTTTTGAAAGAAACGTATTTCCATTGCCCACTGTTAATGAAATTTATCAGTCGAGACATTTCGTCCACAAGAAACTGATCAATGTTAAAAGACTTGTAACTGGCAGTAAACCTTTGAAGGTGAAGGTCCAGGTGCCCCAGAAAAAACACTGGTTTACAAAGGAAATGGAAGAAAGCATCGCCAGAGTGCAATCTAAGAGCTCCTTATGGAGTCTGCTTTATCCCCAAGAACAATTACAGCAACGTGAGCCTCGGGAAGCCAAGAAGCCTATAAGTTACCCCGAAACTATTAAAGCGGTTGGTCAGTGGCAGACTCCTGTAGAGGCAAAATCAACCTCTACAGTTGAAGGAGGCGTTTTGGATGTTAACTTTGAATATTTCAAAGACAAAAGCGTCCAGAAGTTCTACAGACGCGCCGACGAAAAGGATGACTTAGAGGAATATATTGAAAAAGTTCAGTACGTGTCATCCGCCCAAAATTTGCATTACGAATGTGTAACAGAGGAAAGTGATACTATCGGCACTGCTACTGAGACCTTTCTAACAAGTACAACCAGCACTACCGAGAAGACTGGCACCGCCGATACAAAAGACAAAAAAAGCAGTGGAACAGGATCCTTGAAGCCCGATTTGTGTGGAGAAGATGGAAATGAATGTACGAATCCTGATTGTAAATGCAAATTATAAAAATCCTTACTATCGTTTAGAATTTTACGACTACGATATTAATTTTGTATGAGTATTCTATTTTTTTTAATTAATTATTATTTACGTACGTGCCTGTTTGTAACGTTTATTTGACGTCACTGTAATTCTGAAGCATATTATTAATAATCCAGAAACGCCCTCGTTTGATGCATTAATTTTAGACTGGATAACCTTAAGGGCAGAAAAAAATAAAAGTATACCTTTTCTAGTACTTAATATAAGTTATCTAGTGATGCAAGAACCTTTTTCAAAAAGTTGATCTTGGTTCTTCGGGCGTTTAGTTAAAACGAAAATTAAATCGATAGGGTTCGTCGCTTGATCTACCGTTGGAGTCTCTGTTGTTTTCTTCGAATAACTCGAAAACTAAAGCGATTAGAAAAAATAATTTTCAACAAAAATTGTCCTACTACTTAATAGCTATCTAGCCAAATAACTGCCGTTTTAATAAGTCTTAAATTTTACCAATTTTAACCCATTTAACTATCAGTATACTGACGCTTAGTACCTACTGATGCAATTTTCTTAATCGATTATCATATGTTCAAATGTTCAATCGACTGAATCGACGGATAACAGCAGCACGGGGAAGGCATTGTCGAGTAGGTCTTCAATTTTACGTAAAAACATAATCACAGCTTACGACCATAATGTATACGTGATTTTTTACGTTTATATTTGTCGAGCAATTGATGAGATCGTCGATGTGCTTTCAATTTTTGAAAGAAACGTATTTCCGTTGCCTACTGTTAATGAAATTTATCAGTCGAGACATTTCGTCCACAAGAAACTGATCAATGTTAAAAGACTTGTAACTGGCAGTAAACCTTTGAAGGTGAAGGTCCAGGTGCCCCAGAAAAAACACTGGTTTACAAAGGAAATGGAAGAAAGCATCGCCAGAGTGCAATCTAAGAGCTCCTTATGGAGTCTGCTTTATCCCCAAGAACAATTACAGCAACGTGAGCCTCGGGAAGCCAAGAAGCCTATAAGTTACCCCGAAACTATTAAAGCGGTTGGTCAGTGGCAGACTCCTGTAGAGGCAAAATCAACCTCTACAGTTGAAGGAGGCGTTTTGGATGTTAACTTTGAATATTTCAAAGACAAAAGCGTCCAGAAGTTCTACAGACGCGCCGACGAAAAGGATGACTTAGAGGAATATATTGAAAAAGTTCAGTACGTGTCATCCGCCCAAAATTTGCATTACGAATGTGTAACAGAGGAAAGTGATACTATCGGCACTGCTACTGAGACCTTTCTAACAAGTACAACCAGCACTACCGAGAAGACTGGCACCGCCGATACAAAAGACAAAAAAAGCAGTGGAACAGGATCCTTGAAGCCCGATTTGTGTGGAGAAGATGGAAATGAATGTACGAATCCTGATTGTAAATGCAAATTATAAAAATCCTTACTATCGTTTAGAATTTTACGACTACGATATTAATTTTGTAT